AATGCTGTTGTAATGAAATGCTTCTTCTAATTATATGGTTATTAAATAAATAATTTTTAAAAAAGTACCTCTTGCTTCTTGCAGATTACTGCTAACTTATGTGAATAAATATAGAAAAAAGGTAAATTTACCACTGGTTTTCATGTATATCTCAATTTCCTAGCTTTTCTGTTGTTAGTAATAGTGACAGAGACAGTCAATGTGTCCTGCACAAGGCCCACCTAAGCCCACAGGTGCCTCTCTTCTCTTGGGCTGTAATAATTTGAAAACAAGTTTTGTTGTTTGTTTGGGATTTGTTTCTCTGCTTGTCTGATAGGGTCTCGCTATGTAGCTCAGGCTGGCCTCAAACTCTCAGTCCTCCTGCTTTGGTTCTGCTGAGTTGAGGTTATAGAAGTACACCACCATGCCTGGCCCTTAAAAACATTTTGCTGGATTTTTAAAAATAAATATATCAGTCCCAGCACTTGGGAGGCAGAGGCAGAGCTCTGTGAGTTCGAGGCCTGCCTGGTCTACATAGTGAGTTCCAGGCCAGCTGGGGCTACAGAGAGACGCTGTCTCAAAACACCAAAAATAAATAAATAAATAAATAAATATATCTCCATGAAACTTTGTTTAGGAAAAAATATGGGACTTTGAAATGTCAGCATGCTGTTAGGAAAACAGGAAGTACAGAGTTTTGTGCCTCTGTCTTTTATTTACAGTATTGGTTCAAAGTCATCCTGGGTTAGCAAGAAAAACAAACAAAATGAGCCTGTTCTGCTCTGGGTGACATTCATCCACTAGGACAGTCACTAGTTTTTGGTTTTGAACATTTCCAGTAGATAGCACTGGCTAGATATAAGCTGCTTTCGTTCTGTATCCAGAAGGAGGTTTGGCAGGATCTGCACCAGTGTGCAACAAACCTCATCAGCTGACAGCTTAAGAGGAGGAAAAAAACACCAAGGCTAATGCCATCACAGGTGAGGAATAGCTTTGAGGCTGTGTGGTTAAAAATGCTCTGCACATTCAACAGCGGAGCGGGGCTTGGCGTACAATGTGACTAGTGATCTGTTTTTCCATGCGGCAGCTGCGGCAGAACAGTTCCCCCTCTCGCCTGACATGAGTCAACAGAATTCTACCAAAGTGTCATAAAATGTGAGAGAATGCCTTTCTGTCACCAGGACCCAGGGGATGATGGGGGTAGAATAGCAGAGGGAGGGACACTGAGGGCAGTGGTCCGCCTGATCACAAGGGTATGTCTTATGACACCCAGGAACTCAAGTGTTCTATACAGGCGGAGCAGATGGGGATGAGGACTTCAGTACCATGGCTTTTTGATTCCTCTCCAGTCACAGAACATTGTAGCAATTCTTCTACTAATCTAGGACCTGTATTAACAGTCAGTAAAATGAGACTTTGTTTTTCTAATCTGACTCCCAGTAGATTTTATGGGTTCAAGACTTAAACCCAATGAGATAACATCAGTCCATAAACCTTGCCGGGTCTGGAAAGAAAGTGATGATGGCTGTAAACTACACAAGGAGCAGCAAAACCCAAGTTCATAAGTGCTTAGCTAGATTGGCACATAGCATAGAATGAATTAATTGTTCATAAAAATTTAATTACATTTGAAAACAATTTTAGGGTTAGATTTTATTTCCCCTAAAAAGAACTCCCAAGTGTGTCTGATGACTCCTGGGCAGAGCCAATTGTAAATTAAATGAGTCATGTCACCCATTGCCAAGCAATTTCAAAGCAGAATTATAATGTTCTTTTGGAACAACTTCAGCCAAAATTATGCTTCATGTGGAAGGTAAACATTTAACTATCTTTGCTACAAGGTGAAATGGGACCTTCAAAAGGGAAGGATGGTAAGGAGACAAAGTCCTTTCCATCTGAAACTGCTGACTTCTTTACTTTTTCTTTGTTTTTCTTCTTTTCTTCCTTTTTTGGTGGGGAGGGAGGAGGCTTTGTGTGTGTGTGTGTGTGTGTGTGTGTGTGTGTGTGTGTGGTGTATGCGCACCTGTGTGTGCAGGTGTGCATACCCATGCATGCAGGAGGTCAGAAGAGGAAGTTGGGTGTCTGGCTGTATTACCCTCCTCCGTACTTCCTTGTGACAGGGTTTGTCACTGAACCTGGAGCTGGGCTGGCAGCCAGCAAACCCCATTTATCCTCCTGTTTCCCCCTTTATGCCCCCTTTGTAGTACTTGGGAAGGCATGCAATTAAGCATGCATGAAAACAAGAAACTAGATTCAGGAAATGGACCCAGGCCAGCTATCCATCAATAAATTAATGAATAAAGAAAATGTGATCCATGTACAAAGTGGCATTTGTATGTATATGTTTGTACAAATGTGCGTTGTGTCCTCTTGTTCATTCAGCAATGGCTCTTACCTGCTGAACCATACCCCAACCCCGTTTTAAAAATCTTGAATGTACATTTGATTTTACATAAATTTTGCAGGCTTAGGATATGAATTTTCTAAGTTAGCATAACAAAGTAACGAATTTCCTTGTGGCATTTTCATGCATATATGTCATCCTTTTTCTAGTTTGTCTCCCCGCCGCCGCCATGTGCTCCCCCACGCTCCCTGTCCCCTTCCTTCCCCCAGATAATCCATCCTGCTTTCATCACTTGTATCTCATTACCCCCTTTAAGAACTCTTTCTCTCCTTTCATGATCCCGTTTGTAGTTTCATGACCTACACATATACATACACACATATGTAAATTTCCCCATATGAGTGAAAACTTGAAGTATTTGTCTTTCTCAGTCTGGTTTATTTGTTTCACATAATGATCCATCTATCTTCCAACAAGTTTCCTACTTCCATTTTTTTCTTACGACTCAATAAAATCCTATTCTGTACATGTGTCACATTTTCTTTATCCATCCATCTGTTGATGGGCAGCTAGGCTGGTTCCATTTCCTGACTCTGGCTGCTTGTTTTCATGTAGGCTTGATTACATGGCTCTTTCTTCCTGTACCACATTAGGACTCCATGCATCCACACACACATCCAACACAGGGAAGGGACTCAACAGAGATGTAGGTGGAATGGTTCCAGTTCATGTACAAGCCAGTCAATAGAGATTTACAAGCCTACTAAATTCCAGGAGGCTTTTTGGGCACTGAGAATGCGGCTGTGAAATGGTGCTGATGGAGCAAAGAATATCACCAAATAAGTCAGAGATGCACTATGTTCGGTGATGTTAGCACTGAGGTGAGGACAAAGCCAAGAAAGGGAAAGTGCTGAGGGCTGCAAGTTTAGACTGTAGCAGCTTCATTGCACAAGGAATTATAGATGAAGAAGAAAGTTGTGTAGGTATTCAAGGGAAAAAGCATTCCAGGTAGAAGGAAGGGAAGGCGCAAAACCTCTGAGTCATGGCATATTTGGGTAGTCCGGAGTACAGAAGAGGGCAGAGCAGGGAAGTTGTAATAGCATGATCAAGGCTGAGAGAACATTTGATAAGATTAGAGGCATCTGGGAGCCAGACTGGGTAAGCCAGTGTACCGTGATTCTTTGTAAGGAGTTGAGACTTTATTCTGTAAGAGATGGGAAGCCATCAGAGGCAAAGGTATAGCAAGATCTGATTTATAGGTTAACAGCACATCTGTGACTGTTACACAGTCCAGATGTGCCAGGGCACCTTCCATCCTCCCACTTGGACCATGTTGGGTGCCTGGCACCTCCTCCAGGGGCTGCTGTCTTGGAAGAGGACTCACCTCATGTATAAGATGGAACCAAGTTGCTCATAAACACAGAGGACAGAGAGCTAGCTACTCTCTTATTTTAGGAGTCAGTTACTGGGAACTTCCTTGGCCTGGCTTCCAGTGGCTAGCTGGGGCAGGGGGCTGCCTTTGCTGTTCAGAATCTGTCTCCCTAGCATTCTCATCTTCCAGGACACCACAACAACTGTTCCTAGAAATGTAGATGCAAGTGAACTAAGCTCAGAGCTTGACCTTGTGTCTGACATTGGGAAGGACAGGCTTTTAC